TCACTTTGCAGGGGTGGCTATAGCAGAAGGGCAATAAAAGTACAACAGGTCCAGACAACGGTATCCAGGAAGAGGCTAACAGAGGAGTCACAGTAGCCCCAGGAGGAGCAAAAAGATCCTTGCATAAGTTTGCCCAATGCCCTGGAGATACTAACTTAGAATAAACAGGAAGACTTTCTAAATGACTAGAATTATGATTTACTAGGTGCAACAAATTTGCTAGGAGAACCCAAAGTGAACCCAGGAAGGTAGCAGCCTGTTCTGGAAGACAAGTTTGTGTACTTCAGGGACATGGGCTGCAAGGTCCAGGGAGAGTGGAAAAATCAGACCTACAGAAAGTCTCAGCAATGCAGAGAAGCAGTTTTGGGGACACAAGGGCAAACTGGAACATATTGAGAACAATTTACCGTGACAGGAATAGTGTAGATGACGGGTAGGCTTACTCTCAGGAGTGCCTCAATGTGGAGGACTGGGGAGAACACAAACATAGGAAGTGACATGGATGAGGGTGACTGACCCCAGAGGGAAAGCAGAAATGCCAATTTCTGAAAGGTAAGCTATGAGCTTTGGTATGAATGCCACTTGGAAGACTGAAATACAGGGAGAAAAGAAAAGAAGAAAAAAAAAGTTAAAAAAGAGCAATAACAGGTCTATCAGTATGCTCACAAAGCAGGCCTTAAGCAAGCTCCCTTGCTGCAGAGGAAAAAGCAACAGGAACAGGAAAGAAGCAATGCAGCTGAATTGTAAGATATTGGTGGAGTTCAGAAGAAAGCACTGACACTTGGTTGGATTACAACAGGCAAGAGTTAACATCCACTTCACAAATACAAAGCTGAAAAGCCAAGACACTTAGATTTGGAGGAACACTTGAAGCAAGAAACTAAGGTTCTAAGCCCATACGTTGTGAGAAAGAGATGGCATGTCCACTGCTCAGAGTTCCAATACACTATCAGCTGTCCTGGTTACATGTTGAAGGTCACAAAGACCAGTGTGAGAAAAAAAAGCAGTAGCTGATGGAGCACAACTATTATCAACTACAAGAGGACAAGATTTAAACCTCAGATAAGGCAAGAGCAGAGTAAGCAGTTCTTTTGTATGTGAAAGGTTTCCAATGAGATGTGCTTGATAAGCCTTATCTCAGAGGCAACCAAGTAGCCTTAGAAGGCCACAAGGAGAGCAATTGAAGTGCTGCTTTACAAAATGGAAGAAAATGGAAGAAAAGAAAATCTGGGGAATTACAGACCCATTCACTTAGTTTTCATTAACATAGACACTAGAGTCAAGAAAGGAAGGCTGTGGTAACTAACGATAACTCTTCAGACCAGCTCAGCTTCCCTAGACTGCCAAGGGAAAGGACTTTATAGATAAGGAAAAGCAGTAGTTATCACTTCTCCATGTTAATAAGACCTTTGCTGTTTGTTTAGTGATAGTCTCCTAAATAAACTAAGGGAGAACATCTAGAAAACACATTCAGTGAGTAGTCATACTTACTGTCTTACAAAGACACATCAAATGAGGATTCACAGAGATGGTTTCTTGGTTCACCCTAATTAGCCCTTTTACTGACTGCCCGATAACAGAAAGGAAGCAAGTTTACTATTCACACAGATGATGCCAGCACAGAAGAGGCTGCCAGTATATCACGGGACAGGCTTTGGATTCAAACCAATCTCAAGAATTTGGGAGATTAAGTCAGAAAATAAATAAGAAACAATTGAGTCAGTGTGAATCCAACACACGAGATCCCAGCAGGGCAGTCAGTCCCACAAACAGGGAAGGGACAGAGAAGGATCGAGAAGGTATTGTAAAATGCAGCCTGCACATGGGGACCCCACAATGGAATGCACAGGTACAGACAAGGGAGTGGGATGGTAACTTCACTCTTCCACCTTGTACTAGCACAGACTTTGTCACAGTACCAGGTTCAGTTTTGGAGATGATACTTAAAGAAAATCATATAGATGCCTTCTACTTCCATAAGCCCACAACCTGCCCATAATTTCAGTCATGTAGGTAAATTGAAAAGCCCTAGATCATTTACACCTTGTAGCAAAGGTGTCCAGTTCTGGTTGTTAAAAGTGAACAACCCCAGCTCCCTCAGCCACTCCTCGTAAGACTTGTTCTCCAGACTCCTCACCAGCTTCGTTGCCCTTCTCTGGACACCTTGATATCCTTCTTGTAGTGAGGGGCCCAAAACTGAACACAGTACTCAAGGTGCAGCTGAACAGTCCCAGCTCTCTCAGCCTCTCTTCATATGAAAGATGATCCACATTCTTTAGCAGTTGTGGATCTAGTTTGCTTGGGGACTTCCTAACTTGCTCCAGACTCTTCCCTGTTCTCAGAGATCTGGGATTGATGAAAGATGGTCTTAATGGTAAAGGCTGAAGCAGCAAAGGCACTGAGTACCTCAGCCTTTTCCATGTTACTTGTCAACAGGTCCCCAGCACCATTCAGCAGCTCTTCCACATTTTCCCTACTCTTCCTTTTGCTGTGTATGTACTCGCACAATCCATTCTCATCACTCATCACATTCCTTACTAGATTCAAATCCAGATCATCCTTGCCTTTTCAAATCCTACCCCTGCAAGATCAAACAGCAACTCCATACTCCTCCTGGACCACCTGTCCCTGCTTCCACTGCTTGTACACCTCATTTGTATGTCTGAGTTTAGTTAGGAGGTCCTTAATCATCTATGCAGGTCTCCTGTTGCCTTTGATTCTTTAATCTCAGTTCTATCCCTTCCACTTTGGCTTACGTGGCCACAAAGTACAATTACATCTGGGCCAGGGCAATCCCAAGCACAAATACAGGCTGGGTGGAGAACAGATCGAGAGCAGCACTGAGGAGAAGGACCTGGGGTTTTGTTGATGAGAAGCTTGACATGAGCTGGCAATGTGCACTTGCAGCCCAGAAACCCAACCATATCCTGGGCTGCATCAAAAGAAACGTGACCAGCAGGGCAAGGGAGGTGATTCTCCCCCTCTGCTCTGTTCTTTGAGACCCCACCTGAAGTACTGTGTTCAACTCTGGGAACCCCAGAATAGGAAGGACATAGACATATTAGAATGAGTCCAGAGGAGGCCCACAAAGATGATTAAGGGACTGGAGCACCTCTCCTATAAAGAGAGGCTGACAGAATTGGAGTTGTTCATCCTGGAGAAGAGAAGGCTTCAGGGACACCTCATTGCAGCTTTCCAGTACTTAAAGGGGGCCTACAAGAAAGCTGGAGAGGATTTTTTATGAGGTCATATAGTGATAGGACAAGAGGAAATGATTTTAAACTAAAAGAGGGGAAATTTAGGTTTAATATTAGGAAGAAATACTTCACTATGAGGGCAGTGAGGCAGTGGAACAGGTTGCCCAGAGAAGCTTTGGATGCCCCATCCCTGGAGGTGTTCAAGGCAAGGTTGGATGAGGCCCTGGGCAACCTAGTCTACTGGGTGGCACCCCTGCCCATGGCTGGGGGGTTGAACTAGATGATCTTTACGGTCCCTTCCAACCCAGAACATTTTATGATACAATGATTCTATGTATAAACATTTGCTTCTTCTTCATGTCTGCAACTAGGTCTCTTTATGGGTATAGCTTCACTACTGCAAGCCACATTGTCTAATGCCAATGTCCAGCCCACCCGCTAGATTTATCTGATGTCCTATTGAGCTCTCTAACACAACAGATCTTCTTCAATCAACCAATGATGGCATTTGCCCGTATTCATTATGTAAGCAGAGCAGATGGAAAAATCACAAAGTAGTGGTAGCTAAGGCTCCCCTCTTACCCTATTCACCCATTTAAAGCCTTGCTGCACAACATGATATGTTTCAACACCTGCAGTGATAAATAGTAGCACAAACCAGGAACAAACACTTGGTCATGTTTATCCTCAAGTGTTCCTTGGTCGCACTGCAACCCACAATAGCGTTCGTTAACAAGTGTTAGACATAGTTACAAATTGCAGCAAACACAAATGCTCCGTCAGTGTTATTGCAGATTTCATTAATGATGATCCTTCGCATTTCAGCAACAGCCATTCAAGGATCTGAAAACATTTATATGACTCTGTGAGCCAAGTGTCACACTCCATGTGTGAGCCAGATGTTCACAACATCGTTTTACAAACAAGGGAACGAAGTTCACAGGACTGACTCCAGACCCCTTTCCTCCTGCTGAGTAATCCACTGCCCACCAACTAGTCATAGGGGAATTATCCAATTCATGACAAGGCAGGATACCATTATGGTCTCTTTGTTTCCTTGCATTGTCTCTATTCCCTTGTTCCTCATCTTGTGTTTAGATTCTAGGCCTGGAGGGATACCTCTGAATGTGTCCATTGCAGCACAGCATGGCACATAGATGCAACTTAGCATTACTCAGTACAGCAATGTAAGTCAAAAGGGCACCAAAATCTGGTTAACAGAGAGGCCTTCAGTATCTCCATCATATCTATATGTATGTCAAACCAGGCTCCTCACAAACAGAGCAAGCTTGGTTAATTTGCAGTAGCAGCAAAGCCAACATTGCTCTCCACCAGAGCATACAGTGCCCGTACTTGGCAGAGCCCTGGCTCCTTTCAAAACTGCAATTTCAAAACCCAAAAGAAAACAATTCCCACTTAGCAAACTGAACTTTTAAAAGTTCTTAGCACCTCCCTCTCCTCCCAGACTTTCCTGGCTGAGCTGGATGAGAGCTTTCATTTCATCTAGAGAAACATCTATGTTTACAAAGCTGAAGAGACTGCAGCATTTCTCCTATATCCCACCTGCCAAACCACTCTACCAGCTGTGTCACTGCATCATGTTTTTACAAGATTAGAGAAAAATCACGTCCTGCTCCCTCTAGTGCCAAGCTGAGCACATTTAAGCAGTCTGGCCCCAACTCACAGCACCACTGCAACTCTTGTTTTTAGGATCAACAGACAAGATTTTACACAGGACCCAATGAAACTCATTCTTTTCTATCTAGTCTCTCTCTCTCACATCGTCAGTAAACCCAAACCTACCTCACTGTTCTCTCTGAAGTTGCTGTTCTGCAAGGACAGGTCTCATAAAGATCAAGAGGCTGATAACACGATTTGAAGAGCTCCACCAGTCCTCAGTTCAAATCTAGTCTGAGCTGGGAGTGACCTCAGCATAAAAGCGCTGGGCAGCCTTGGTCACCTGAGCAGGGTCATCACATGTCCACTCTGCAACTGGCACGAACTGACCAGATAAAAGCAAGTACAGGAACCAAAAGCAGCTATGTAGCAGAGAACAGCTATAACCCAACCAGGCATTCCAGCTCCCACATTCATTCCACGGGCAGCAGAAGGTTGTTAGACCCCAGGTCTAGTCACTATAAGCTAGAAACAAAAATGGATATTGCAGCTTCATGGATAAAAGCAGATTGTGCTGTGCAAAGAAAACAAATCAGGGGAGGTTGAAGTTAACATAACCGTTCCCTTTTTTCTTATTCTAGACTATTAAGTAGCACAGATGGAGATCCAGTGTCCCAGGTGGACAGGCAAACCATGTACCAAGATATTAGGATCATCTCACTTCTGTACACCCTGATGCAGACAGCATAACAGCTCTGCACAAGTCTTTTATATTCGTTTTCAAATCAAGAAAATATAAATTAATAGCTGAAGAGGAAGGGGTCATTTCTTTCTATAACTTTTCCAGTTTCACGGTTTATCCATCTCTCCTATTATTGTAAGCAAATAACCTGCAGCTGTACCAAAGACTTCTAGCTCAGGAATATAGCAATGCGTGGAGCAATAAAGCCTGACAGCCTTTTTCAGGACTGGCTGGTGCACACACATACACCTAACTACCTGCATGTCTCAGCAGTCCCTTTCACCAGCTCTAGGTTTTGTCCTGCAAACACTCATCTGAAGCATGCGATTGACTTTCCCTTTCTTGGGAAAATGTTTGCCCTCTGAAACCACCTATACAAGTGAAAAAAGGAGGGTACAGGCACTGGGACGCCAATCATGCAGCAGCTCACTTGCAAGACAAGATGCAGGCAGGCAGGCATGGTGCTGGCTCTCCCTAGACAAACGAACAGCTGCAGGTAAGGGCCTAACCCTGCATGACTCTGAGCTCCAGGACTGGTGTCTCAGTCCCTGCACATGCCTGTATGGCATATACTCATCCTTGGACTTTATCAGAGAGGCTTGCCAGGAGCCTTTGCAGGTACTGTGGTCCCCTCTTCCATGCACCCCATCACACAGCTAAACCCATCTTCAGTGAAGCCACAAACACCAGCAAGATAAAAATTAGTTTTATCCCCTTCAGTTATGGGAAGTCTATATAGGGCCTGAAAGCACTGTCACCTCAGCCTGAATTTGCAAGAAGCCTGAAAAAGCCGTTCTGAAAGGGAAAAGCCATATTGACAGTGCTCAAAACACCATCCTACCCACACCGTGACTTCTCGGGGCAGGGAAGGATGGATGTATAACGTAACTACTGCCAGTCCTCACCACTTCTGCAATGCTGGCTTCTTCAATTCACTTCACCTGCCTTATAACAAAGAAGCCCCTGCATAAACTCCCCCTCAGACCTGACAGCAGCAGGACCGAGCCAGCAAAGCAGTCAGGACAGTTCCTAGAGGACAGGGAATGGTGGGTGGGAGAGACTGACAGAGGCAAGGATGGAAAGAAATCATCTGCTGCTGTTCCTGGGAGCAGCTGCAGAGGATGGCGATGCTGGGTGTGCTTGTTTAACATCACCTATTTCTCAGCCCTAGAGATATTTAAAGTAATAATAATATAAAAATAAATAAATAAATAAAACAATCACAGTACCACAGCATCTGTGTCCTCTGCAGACAGGAAGACAGGAAAAGCAAGCTGTGGCCAGGTGTCCTTGGACGCAGGAGAATATTTCTGCTGGGCTGGGTGACGATGACAGGAGAGCAAACTGGGAGAATAGGCTGCTGCACAACAGGCTGTCACCAAGATGAAGGGACACAGTGTGCAATGTGCTGTCTCCAGGACCAGCACATCACATGCTGACTCCCAGTGAGGCAGAGCAGGAAAGGAATATGCAGAGCCCTTACACACATGTGATACACCACCTCCCAGTAGGATACCAGAGACTCGCCAAGAGGAACAGTCTGCATGCACTGCGCTGACTTCTGGCAGCGCAGGGCTACAGGGTGACACAGACTAATGGGACATGTTGGACACATCTCCCAGCAGGACACATGTAACATGTTGAATCCAGGCAGGCACGGCTAAGGTGTGATCCACCAGCTCCCAGATGATACGGATGGCCAGCAGGATACACTGATGAGCTGACTCCCAGCAGCACGCTTGTGATGCACTGCCTCCTCGTGGACCAGAGCCCTACAAGATGCAACAACTCCCAGTAGGACACAGGACTCCCTGATTCCCAGCAATACCATAACATGACACACCAAATCCCAGCAGGACATGAGCAACACAACTCCTAGCAGGGCAGGACCAGTGTGCAAGGCACTAGCTACCACAAAGGTATGAGCAAAACACACTGAATCCCAGCAGGGCACGTCTAATGCACCAACTCCCAGCAGGAAACGTGCAGAGCAGTAACTCCCAGTGGGACGTACCTGATGAGGTAACTGCGAGTGGGACAAGCGCAATGCAGTGACATCCAGCAGGACACGTGTTGCACTGGCTCCCACCAGGACACCTACAGTGCACCAGTTCCCAGTGAGACATGCAATGCAATGACTCCTAGCGAGGCTGGGTCAGGGGTGCCACAGGTTTCTGGCACAACTTGTAGGAAGCACCAGTTGCTTGGAGGACAGGTGCCATGTGTGCTACACCAGCTTCCAGTGGAAAGCACTTGTGAGCACTTGTGCCGTGCTCTCCATCCAGAACTGTGGGGACTGCCTTGGCAGAGATAAAGTGCAGGGACAGGACAGGCTGTGTGGCTGTGGAACAGGGACACCATAGCAGGGCTTCAAGTGCCACCTAGTGGGGGACAGAAGATGCTCAAGGGCCACCCGTCCCTGAGACCTGGGTGCTGTGGGGCACAGCAGACCTGCCCCAGACAGGCCAGCCTCTCTTGTCCTCACCCTGCCAGACCTACCTGCCTCCAGCAGCTATCCCAGAACCACGCTGGGTCAGCTGGCCCTGCCAGCCTGCCTCCCACACTGGTTCATTCTGGAGGTTGTATAAAGCAGCTCCATGGGAGGGACAGAGGAATTTACTCCAGGTGCAGTTTGTTAATCACATCAAGCGCAGTCCTGTCAAGTCCCTGGGTTTCTCTCCAGCAGTGTGAGCACGGAAACAGCTGCTCAGTTCTCCATAGTGCCTGTTCATGAGCTGCAGCACACAGAAAGCATTAAAGCCACTGTAATAAGAGGATGTTTCAAGAAAGCAGCCCAAATTATTCCATCTTTGGAGGCACGTTCCGCTTGATGCATTTCTTATCTGCACAGTTACCTGCAAATTTTCCCTCATCTGTGTACATTAACTCTGACACTTAAAGTCATGCATATGCAAGAATGTACCGCAGACACATGAGCCAAAGAAAACACTGGCATGGCAAACAGCTCATTTGACTGCATACGTTTTATTTTATAGGATTTCTTCCCCCCACAAAAAAAAAAAAAAAACAGACCAGAGACTCTGGGAGGTAGAATTGCAACCAGGGCTATAAAGGTGCAGTACAGAGCTCTGTGAAAGTTTACACATGGGAAGTCTCAAAAGAAGTAACAAATGCAATTGAAAATATGCAGGCAGAGGGGTGGGATTTGCAATCCTGATGCAGGTGAATGCAATTTTTCTTTCCATCTCTCTATCCAGCAGGCGACAGTCAATCTCTTAAGCTGCATCTGCATTCATGTACAGCTGTTTAATCACTTGACATTTTCTTCTGTTCCATCTGTATTATCAGTCTCTTCTTTCCTCACATGTCTCAGCCTGAAAATAATCCCTAGGATATTAAAGAGAAAACCATGACACCTTGTGGAAAAGATGAATCCTTCTCCGGATAAAGGCATCTTCATGAATACCAGTGTCTCACCCACGAGGTCTGGCCAATGTAGTGTTGCCCAGGCAGTTAAAACAAACTAAATAAGGCCTAAAAAAATCCCTCTAAATTCCCAGTAGACAACCCAGGTTCATCTACTGATCAAACACAGCCCCTCTTCACTCAGAGGATCAGCTACCAGATTTTTGTTGGCCTTAATCATGATTAAGCTGAGCATCTCTCCAGGGAGTTTTTCCAGAGAACTCAAATCCCTGCAAAAATTAAATCATCTGCAAGATGCTCTATTTTCCTCATGATCCACCCTGAGATCAAGGCAAGGGGCGGGACTAGAAAATCAAGCCCATAATAGTGATGGTCTTGGCTAAGCTGAATCCCAAACAGATCTGCAGTGGTACATGGGACAAGTTGAGGAACTGGGACACAGGAGATACATTCTAAAAAGACGGCCACTGAGTTCAAGACAACAGGAGAGAAAGAGCTAACTAAAAAAGTCCTGTCTATCATTAAAAAGGCTATCAGTAAAATTCAGGGCCTAGACTAACTAATGGGTTGGGCACTTCTCTCCAGACAGGAACCTGTATGAAGTCAGGACACCAGATGAGGCTCAGTTATGCCCAGAAAGGCAAATCACATCCCACTGGGCCACACACTCCCAAGCCCTCGTTCCCTAGGACAGTCCCTTCTCACCTACATCAAAAATCGTTCAAGATCCCAATTAAACACCAGCTGGTCCCCAAGCACTGAAACTGAAAGCTGTTCTCTTCCCATGAACTCACCTCCTCAGCTCTCACAAGTGCCAGCTGCCAGCCTACTGCCTATGTTAAAAGCAGAAGAATTTGGGATTGGAGAAGTCAAGTGGGCTGTGGTGATCCAACAGGCTTTCTCAGGACTAGTGTCCTCCAAGAGCTGCCCTTTCTTCTGGGAGCAGCAAGCCCTGAAAGAAATGAAAAAGATGAGGCCAAACATCAGTCTCAAAGCTGAACTTCTCCAGCCACTTAGGATCAGATCATTATTTTAAGCGCACTTACATGAGAGAAAGAATAGCTTGGGAACTGCTAAGGAGAAACTTGTCTAGATCCCCTTCAGGTCACTGAGCATGTGCAGGACAGCAGAAGCATCTTCAGGCTCTTGGCTCTGTCAAATTTTGGTGGCAAAACTGAAAAATGTGGTAGAAGACATTTTCATTTTGCAAATTTTGCCGGCCTGTCAGGACACGCTGGTGATGATGAGCTGCAGAGAGACTGGGGCAGGCAGCAAGGAAAGCTGGGCTGAGTGCAGGTGGGGATGGCCAGTATATGGTGGGAAAGAAAGGAGAAGGCTGAAAGAGATGTGAACATAGTAGAGCTAACACTGTTACTAGGAGAGGGGAGGACTAGAGAAAGGTGTTGTTGGGATGGGAGGATTATCAGCTCCCAGAAGGGCCCAGGGAGAGTCAGACCCATCTGAGAGCAGCAGCAGTCAAGTCCTTGATAGTTCATGGCCTTTCTCCAGGACAAAGAAAATAGTGTGAAATATGTGAGGCCAGCTGGTCTTCTGTGTTGCACAGACAGGCAAGCCCTGCTTTCC